TTATTATGTCCTTTATTCGAACACTGTATTTACCTTTTTTGATGATTTATATATAGTTTAACAGTGTTAACGGCTATCTTGATATATATATATATATATATATCTAATATATATATATATATATATATATATATATATATTATTGATTATGTACAGGGTTAAGGGTTATGGGCACGTGCGGATCCTTTTTCCAGAACACACAAGGTGGTACGCAAATGATAAACCATATGCCAACAAAGTCAGTGTTTAGAGTCGAAGTAAAAACAGAGACTGACGCTACCAGACCAGAGAGTACCATTAGATCACATAATGGCGTCATAATACATGCAAACCTTAAACCCTCGGACGCCCCAATAAAAGCAGAGGATGTTTCACAATCTCAACACAAGGAGGGACTGATTTTACCAATGGAGAAGGACAAACAACTTCCCCAACGAGAGAAATATGTTAACAACAGAACATCGAGGTTGTATGACCTTACCATTCCATTTCAAAAGACTGAGGTACAACTAGAAGACCAGGAAGTACTGAATGAATTGAAATCCAAAATAACAACTGCTGTCTATTTTCTCAAAGATGCTGATAACATAATTAGCGAAAAGGTTTTAGAATGTCTAAAGTTATGTAAATTTACCTACTGTGACGAAAGAATTCGCCTATATCGCCAAATTATTGGAAACCATTTATGCGATTTAGGCTATTCTGCACTTTTTTGTAAGTTCTTGACCGAACTTCAGAAACTTGACCTCTTCAACGATGAAAATAAACTTGCAGTTGATATTTTTCGAACAACAAAAGCTATTGCATGGAATTTCACAAACTTTTCAAGAGATTTGTGCATTGAACTCGGAAAAGCTGGTGTGATTCCACTGCTTTTGGCAAACTTCACTCAAAAAGAATTCCTTCCATCTAAAATCACAGAATCAATTTTAGTTCATATGAAAGGAACCTTAGGGATTTTGAGCAATATGATACGACTTTCTCCAGGTAATAGACAGATAGCGTGTGAACATGGTGCAGTGAAGCTTCTTTTGGATTACTCCAAGGTTGAATTCACAATGCTGAAAGCAAAATGTTTCATCAATCTCTCGTTCCTTATTCGAACCGATGCAGAGGTAGGTCTTCTAGAGAGCACGGGTTCTGTCATCAGACTCATCATCAGCCTTCTCAGTACATCTCTAGCTTCGAATTCCGGATGTGCACGAGGGTTTGGTACCTCAGAGATTCTACTGGCTCTGAATAATCTTGCACTGAACGATAAAAATAAAGTTAAAGTTGTGGAATACGGTGGTCTAACTCAGCTGGCGAAAGCTCTGCAGCTGGAAACTCCAGAAAATAAGGATTCAATTCAGATACTTTCAGCAGAGCTAACGTGGAAATTGTCGTTCATCGAAGAAAACAAAGAGAAAATTAAAGCAGAGAATGGTCTGGTTAATGGTAAGTAAAATAATTGGTAATGATTATAAATCAGTTAATTTACATACAATGTTATATACTTCGTAATTAAAAAATATCTCAACCTGCAACAAAAAGGAAAGACTGTAGTTCTTTTTAAATCAGGCTCAGGAGCCAAAAAAAAAAATACCATAATGTTGTACAACTGATTTTGTTAAGACACAAAAAGGGTGTTGGATGATGAACTCGGAAATAGTTAATGACACAGATTTCGAATATTTAAAAACTAGGAGGAAAAGTTGAAAAAAAAGGTAGTTACGCCCTCTTACACCCAGTTTTAAATAGACCAAGATATACGTACTGACCAACAGATCGAGACGTCACGGACAGTATGTATTTTTGTTTGCTTAAAATAATTTTTTACTTTTGTTAATTTTATACTTTAGCACTTGTCATACTTAAGACATCGGCGAACGGTAAACTTAAAACGGCATGCTCAGGTGCATTGTGGGAAACATTCGAGGGGATATTTGAAGAAGAAGACAACACATCGACTAACGTTAAGACAACACGTCTGAAGAAAGGTCGCCACGTGATGATCAGTTACCAATGGGATGTCCAGGCAAGAATAATTCAATTGAAAGAAAAACTCCAAAAATCTGGTTACAACGTTTGGATGGACATTGATCAGATGGGTGAGTGTAACGTCACAGAAATTGACATACCAACATTTTCTAACAGTATATCATTTTGTAAGTATATAGTATGAATTTATATTTCAATAAGAAACACTGCACATTACAATATATTATTAGTGCCGCTAGGCATCAGCACTCATCAGAAAGCAACCTAAGTCATAACTGGTTTTGGGTCTGATGGGTAAAATAAGAGGGGTGGGAATAAAATAAGGAAATGTCAACCACCGTAGTTTAGGCTGCGCAGCGTCAGTCATGAGCAGGCTTGCCGTCTGTAATATTCAGAGACTCATAATTTAATTGATAATTAATAATCAGTAAATTGTATTTTCTATTACAGAAGGGGACTTATTAGGTGCAATGGCGGCTGCCATTGAAAATGCAGCAGTTGTATTAGCATGCGTGTCTCAAAAGTACAAGGACAGTACAAGCTGTAGAACAGGTCCGTCCATACGTACATATACATAAGCAAAGACCAATATAATAATTTATACTGCACCAAGCGTAAATAACAATCTATTTCTGATTCATTTAATAGAAGCAACGTACGCATATAAACAAAATAAACCAATTATACCACTACTTGTTCAAGCAAATTATACGGCAGATGGCTGGCTTGGGGCACTCGTGGGAACTCTAAAGTATTACCCGCTCTTTAAAGATTTCATGGTTGCAACAGAATTTCCAAAAATTACGAATGAGATCGGAGAAAGAGGCAAAGTTAACTCACACTGTAAAGGTAAATTTGGGGCTAATTGTAATTACTGTGTAAGCCTATAAAATGATTTCAAAAAATCGCAATATTCATAGTATTTAACAACAGTACAATCTAGAACATCTATCATTGTTGTGCTGCAAAGAGCTGGATTGCAGAGAACACTATTACGTGATATCATATCGGAATATCGGATGATATCGGAAAATGCGCTATGCAGGTCATATTCTCAGAGGCAGTAGCAATCACAATTCTAGAAGGAAAATTGAGGGCTCGAGAGCTAGAGGAAGATAAAAATTTAATGGAGTGATGACATCAATAGATGATGCGTAGCAACTTCTTACATGGAGACAAAGAGATCAGCAGAAAATCGTACCGGCATTAGATGTAGAGACATGGTGGCCAACCTTTGTATCGAAGATGGCACATGATGATGATGATGTTGATGATGATGATGACAATCTATAAACAGTGGTGTAACTAAGTTCTGAGGTGTCCTGGATTGTGAGTACAGTCGTGGTCCAGATTTAGTTCCCTCGCCGAACGCCATCCCTGGCCCGAAACTATTTATAAAAGTGAATATTGTACAATTTACTATTTGTTGACTTATGTAATCCATAGTGCCATTCACAGCCGGGCACCATCCATGTCATAGTTTGATTGAAAGAAATATTGATTAATAATGTATTGTGTATTTTATATTTTACACGTTATAGTTTTACTTATGCAAATATTCCTCTCGAGCATAGATGTAGGGTCCATAATAATGATAGCTTATGTAACTAAAATAACCAGTATACAAAACTATGATCATTTAGCAAACAAAACCACAACACAGGTCATATATTTAGCGTTTTGGTTGATAACAAGTATCATCAACGACATGTAAATTCATTTATGGCCTATAATTATAATTATTTCCTTTTTTTTTTGCAGTGAAAAACAATGTTTTCTACAATACATTAACATTTACAGAATAGAATAAACTAAAGCTTAATCTACCCTATAACAAATTGAAATTCTCAAGCAAACTAAACAAAATCTTAATTTAAATTAGAAATATAATTGATTTTAAACACTAATTCCTTGTAGGCCAAAGTGAACATGATATAAATGGACACTTTAACTAGATGCGATGTACTATTTAACATGAATTAGGCCTATATCAAGTTTTTAAATAACGCCAAGTACCATGTGATGTGTTTGCATTTGGTAGGTCGTTACCAATTAGCTTATAAACAGTTTAAATTATTTAGTCAATTATTGGTTTATTAAAGGCAGACGACGATGACAATAACGACCTTAACGACGACGATAATTATGAAGATGATAATGTGTTGGCAGGGCATTAAACATGATACCACTTTTCTCTGTCGACGCAATGTTGCTCCTTTAGCAGTGCAAGGGCAGTGGAGCCCTGGGCTTATCCTGGGGTGGATGGTGCTGATGCTCAACATACTGCCTTTGAGTATCTGCGCATACTTATATGGGGAGCAACACTGCCTCGATGGGATAATTGGTATACGGATTTTGCTTCAAATTCTTCTGGGAATTAACATGTATTTTATTTAATTTTGTGGTTAATTGACACTGCGCATTGAGCACCATTGGTGGAGATGTGCGCTTTATAAATCTTTATTATTATTATTATTGTTATTATTATTATTATTATTATTATTATTATTATTATTATTATTATTATTATTATTATTATTATTATTATTATTATCATCATATTATTATTATTATTATTATTATTATTATTATTATTATTATTACTTTATTATTATTATTATTATTATTATTATTATTAGGCCAGCACCCCCGTCATGGAGAAAAACCAAAATTCTTCGGGGAGAAAAAAATATGTATATGTATTTTCTATATATTAGTAGACTACTCTAAAATCGAATAAATAAGCCTTTGAAACCTATGGATTGTCATATTTTTCGGGGGCTTCGAACCTTCAACAACATATTTGGAGCGACACCCGACACTCTACTCTCGTTGGGGACATCGGGGACATCGGACAGCTCCCCCTCCCCCTCATCGACGGGTAAGTCTTTTCGCGACCCCTTGCCGGATTTAAGTGATAAGACACAAATTCAGAGTAAAGCAGGTATCAGCCACAAGGGGCCCCTGTTCAGGGTGCGAGACAAAATCCCTGGCAAACGCACTGGTATTGAGTAAAACAATATTTTAATGCGAATTACATTGTCAGGCTAAATTTGATCGACTGGCATGAAGATGGGAAACTGCATACATTAGTGCTGTTACAGATTTTTGTTCGCTCTCCCATCATAATTTTGTGGAACTCAGAGGACGATTCACTCTGTCTGGTTATTTTCATCCATCATGATGATACAGCTGTTTCTGTGACTAATTTTTACAACTAGGCATAGGGCTATTTATTTAAAATTTGTAACCATTTAAAATTATACTGTAGGCTTACAGTATTACATAAGAAATAGACGATTATAAAATCAGATTTTATGTACGTTTATTTACAATCTAGTCATATGAATTGTTTTTTATATAATTTCATTTCTTGATAGGGGTGCGGTTCTGCTTCAGGATCCCTGACCCTTAGGACACCGGCTCACCGAATTTCCTGAACCGCAGATAGTTAAGCCACTGTCTATAAACAATGAATAAAATTGATAGTCCAATTGTTTTCTTTCAGACATCGTTGTTCTTTCTACAATGCAGGAGGGTAACACCAACAAAACTCGGGCAGATCTTATCGACAGGGCGGTGCCTGCAGGCCCTATTTCCGATAAAGTTTCGGAGTGGACTACAAAACAAGTTAGTGAATGGTTGAAACGAATTCAAATGGCGGAGTTATGTCACGCTATGAAGCAAGTAAATGGCAAACTTCTGATTCAGATGTTTAAGATGTCGAATAAAGCTCCTGATTTCTTCTACACAAGATTAGAGAGAGATTTCAAAATGAACAATTTAATGCAAATACTTAAATTTTCAAGCGCCATCGATGAATTACTAGATTAAAAATATATATTTTAAACTACCATTATCATCATCATCAACATAATCATAATCGTAACCACCATCATCGTTTTGGCCTATTATTAATTTCATTATCACCATCAACCTTTATACTTATTATTTGTATTATCATCCTAACTCCTTTAAGGGTAATCCTATAAATGTATAAGATGCTGAAGGATTAGTTCCTGACACCACCCAACCGGATATGTTGTGCACGTATTAATCTCAACAATTTCCGGTACTGCGTACAAAAACTGAAAGGTCCACTAATTAATCTCAGATAAGATAGTATAATACCTCCAAGTATCGAAATGCACGCCATCGTGTCGGGATTCAATATTTCGACATTAATTATGTCATTGAAATAATTAATGTCAATGACAATAATGATAATGATAATTAATGTCAATTGACATAATTAATGTCAATGACATTAATTATGTCATTGACATAATTATTGTCGAAATATTGAATCCCAACACAATGGCGTGCATTTCGATACTTGGAGTATGTATTATACTACGTATCTTACTGTGTACAACAAAAAAAAAATAAATGTGGCTTTAAAATTATTAGTATAAGCAAACGAATCTATTTACCTCATTATTTGACTATTGGTTACTCATTAGTGTATATGCATGACAAAATAAATTTCAGTATTCTACCAAGGGCTACATACATATCACGTGTAATTACCAGTTACAGCACATGATGTATTATTTGTTTCGAACTGGGGGCCTTCTGCTGTCTATTCTGTCTATAATGTATGTAGAAACTGAATTAATTGATCCAGGCGGTAGGTGGAATGTTTCTAGGGTCATTATGCTTGTTTTGACTGATGAGGAAAATTTGATTTATCATAGAGGTAATGTATTATATAGGCCTGTTTTAATTGAATAAAAAAAATCAATGATAACTTTGTAATTTGTAGTGTCATTTACAGCTTCCAATCTTGTCAGATAATTTCTTTCAAATTTTTGGTTTTCATATTTTTTGGCGAGCACTGTGATAATGTTATAGTGTAGTTTAAAATCTATTTTCAATTCTATTTTTTGTTTTCTGTTCATGCAAAACGCATAGATTAAAAAAACTAACATTATCACTATGAATATAAATAAGAGTTTCACCCAGTCATAATGATCAATGGGTTGCAATTTTGAAATAATTTATTCAGGTGGGAATTTAACTCACGACATCCAGATAACTTTATCTGATGTCATACCACTAAAGAACCGAGCCTGCGCATATGACAGTTAAAAACATATTTTCCTAATGAGTTTCCCAATGAAAATGGTATTGCTCAGTTACTGCAGTATCCGCTGTTCAAATGACGCATATTATCACGTATCTATAATATACTGTACAATTCAGATTTTTTTTTTCAAATAAATACGTAGGCCTACAGTAATTATAATTGTATGTTAAATGCCTCAGACTCGAACACAGTCAACAAAACCTAAAACTAACAAACCATCTACACATACAATACAGTAATAGTTAATCATTTCCTAGGTGTCCATAAACGATTGTCAATCGTGGCGTCATCACTGCAACTCCCAATGTTATTTGCCTATTCTCCACCGTCCAATAATTTTTCAATTAGTGGACGCTTGGCTTGATTTTTTTAGATTCGTGTGCAAAAAAATAATCATCATTTTTTCGTCACCGAGAAGACATCGTGCACAGCGATGAAAATTGATTTGTAATTGAAAAATACTTTCGTAAAACAAGCGTAATGAGGACCCAAAGAAAGTTACTTCAAATTCAATATTAAGTATGAACAAATAAAGAATTCATTGAATAAATGGACCCTCATAAACAAAACAATCTGAACGTTTAATAGGAATATTGTAGACCTATTTTAAAGACTCAAGGAACTGATTTGGATGTAGGTCTACGTCCAGGCAGAAGGCCGCCGAGACCTCCTCTTACAAAGCCGTAGTCTAGCCTGAATTCATCGCACGATTTTTAACTGTCTGCATGCATCGACCAAATAGGTCAGTGATTGTATTCTCTCTTCGAATGCTGACATTTTTATTTCTTTTTCAATCAAAATAGCATTACAAACAAGTTCTTTCTAACACAACTACAATAATTATTCATCGTATCCGTCTGAATATGTACTGCTGATGTGTAGTTAACGCGTACGTAAGGAGCACAGATCAGGGGATTCAAAATGTTTTCCAACCCAAAATTAAATGCGGGTACTGGGGTCCTTCCCCGGGAAAATGTTCATTCCTAGATGGCCGGAAATGAGCTTTCCCGACTTCTGAGCTAGAAGTCGTTTATTTTAATGACCCGGGTAAGTTTCCCCCACCCCTGGATCCGCCACGGCACTAGTTGGTTATCAAAAACTAAAATTAAAAGACGGTGATTGACTTCTAAAGTAATTAGCAGAGCATGCATCGTACACTAAAGGAAAATTATTATACTTAGGTTAGATTTAATGCATTCAAAAAATTTCCTTCAGGCCTTGTAGGCCCTCAGGAAATTGTTTAAAGCATTAAATCTAACCTTCGGATAATAATTTTTATATAGTGTACTATGCGGAGCCCTATTAATTGCTTATTATAATATTTCATTTTGTTCCATTGTTCAAATAAACTGCTTATGAGTATGAAGGTTATAAAACGGAAGAGATACACTCTAATATAAAATGACCCCTATGCGTATTATGGAAGTGACTCACGATCAACCTGCATTGTCGGATGAGCTCGAAAAACGTCTGTATTTTCGGCTAGCCATGGATGAGTGTGAAACTGATGTTTCAGATGCGTCTACCACCACTAAACCATACTTTTTAACAGCATGGTAAGAAACTTGTAAGCAATTTTAATATTTTGACATTTTAAATTTAGGCCTACCGTGTTAGTTCAGTATCAAAGGAACATATCATATATACGAATTGTGATCGATCATGCATCCAAAATACGGTACGCATTAATTATTTACTTGCATGCGCGGTTCATTCACTTGTTGTATTGGTAACTTTAAGCACTTAAGTCTCAGCTCGCTGGATTTTCATTCACACAAATTTGTCTTATATTCAGCAATATGGGCGACTTAATGACAGGCACGTATCTAACGCAATGAGCACTTCAAGATATGATTTGATTAGTATAGTTTAATAGCAACACATTTTAAATTCATTGGTAAGAACCACTAGTCTGACCCATAGATGAAAAACACAGGGCCTTAGCCCCGGAGGTAACTGTTATTTTGTGAATGCTTACTATCAGTAAACACAGCTCAAAGCTAAGCACGGAGGTACAACAATATCAATGACATAGACACATTATATAAATATTTAGACGAATATATAGGGATAGGGGCTGTCTCTTATACACATCTAGATGTGTATAAGAGACAGACCCAAGCTACTATGAAGTATTATTCTCAACACGATGTTTATAGTCACTTTTTTTTTTAATTTTCAGTTGATTATTGATATGGGGTGTGGAACCAGCCTACAGGCGAAAAATCAAATATAGGCCTATACACAAAGCGATATTATTATAAAAAAAATTTAAAAAATGGCAGATGAGAAACAACAAAATGATGCAGATTTGATCATAAAGGAAAGAAACGAAGTAAATGAGAAAGACCAAGGGAAAAATGCTGTTCAGGATGAAGACGAAAATTCTGGAGAGAAACAAGATTTTGACAATGATATTAAGTTGTATGAGCTCACTATAGGAGCTCAAGTTGTTGAGGTGAAACCAGAATTCCAAGAAGCACTAGAAGAATGCAAAGATGAACTAACTAGAGCAATGGATTTTCTAAAAAACACAGACGATCTTAAAAATGAACAGGTTTTAAGCAGTGTGGAAATGATAAAAAATAGTTATTATAATACTAAGCTGACTACATATCGTCCATTACTCGGGGAGCACTTATGCAACATTGGATTTCCAGAATTATTCATTAAATTTTGGATTGAGATAAATAAATTGAATATATTTGATCCAGAAAATGAACAAGAAATGAAAGTTTTGAAAGCCATGAAATCTCTTGCTTGGAATTATTCTGATGCTTCAATAAAATTATGCGCCGAGCTTGGAAAGTTCGGTGCGGTCCCATTACTTCTCTCAAGCCTCAAGCAAAAAGAATTGGTGCCAGAGACCCTAACAAACCCTAATATTATACACGTGAAGGGAAGTCTAGGTATATTAAACAATATGGTACGACTTCATCCTCATAATATTCAACTCTTGCGCGACAATAATGCTGTGAAGCTTCTCCTGGACTACACAGCTGTAAAATTCCTGATCTTAAAAGCCAATTGCTTCATGATAATTTCGTTTCTTATCACCGACGAAGAGGTGAGCTTACTGGAGAACACTGGAATTGCCGTTCGATTCATCATCGATCTCCTTACCACGTCCTTGACTGCAGGAAAAGCGCGAGGATACAGCACTCTGGAAATACTCCTCTCTTTGAATAATCTGGCTCTTAATGATGAGAACAAAGTGAAAATTGTGGAATACAATGGACTTGCACAGTTGGGCAGGGCACTCAAAAAACGCACAAAATCAATCCTTATTCTTTCTGCAATGCTTATTTGGAAACTATCTTTTATTGAGCAAAACCGTAAGAGAATAAGAGAAGACGAAAGCCTAATAAATGGTAAGAATGAACGTGTATATAACACAGCTTTAACTATTTATTTATAAATACTAAACACATTATATTTTCATTGCGGATTTTTTGGGCTCAGTACGGACTTTAAACGTATGCATTTTCTTTTAGTTTTAAGGCGTATGCGGATTTTATAAGTCCGCAATGACGATATAACGTGTTACTATTTGTATTTTACATAATCATTTGTGACTCTACTTCAGTATGATAATTTAAAATAACAACTGTCTACTTTCTTTTATTTTTTTTTCATTAGTTTTAAAGCTTAACAAGAGTTCTGACGTTCCCAAGGTGCAAGCAACATGCTCAGGTGCATTGTGGGAAATATTTGGAGGACAACCTGAAGTAAATGAAGATAGTACACCTATTATCATCCAACCATATATCAGGAAAGGCACCCATGTGATGATTAGCTACCAATGGGATGTACAGCCGAGAATTATTAAGTTGAAGAAAAAACTCCAGGACGCAGGTTACATCGTCTGGATGGATATAGACCAGATTGGTGAGTGCAGCCGTATTATATTAGTAACCATATTAACATTATATTTGCATGTAACTTGATGACTATTATAGTCAACAGGCAAGCCTAGGTACAATATACAATGTATATGACAAAAAAGTAATAATCAAATAAAGTTGCGATCTTTGGTTGCGTCTAGATAGGAGTGATGTTTGTCCTATCTGACGTGTTATCGTACCGAATACTCAGTAAGTTCTCAAAATACTTGTAAAAAAAAAATCGCTTGCACATTTGCAATACCCGCTGCTACTTGAGAATCTGATTCAACATTAGTTAGTAGCGTAAGCTACGTAACCATTTATGACACCATGGCTAGTTATCTGGAGGTCTTGGGCTCAATTTATAAGTATTTGGGAACGTACTGATTATTCAGTACGATAACATGTCAGGTTGGGCAAAACATTACTCTAATCAACATTACTCTAATCCAATATGAACATCTATTTTCATTAGAGGGCGACATTTTGGGTGCAATGGCTGCCGCTGTTGAGAATGCTGCCGTATTTTTGCCGTGCATTTCTAAAAAGTACAAGGACAGTACAAGCTGTAGAACAGGTTAATTCATTACATTTTTACCTTTAAAAAAATAAATATGTAGGTGGAAAGTATATTTCATTTATATTATTTTTTGTTACAAGTGAATTACAAGACACTATGTTGCATACTTGAACTTTAGCAGCTGTCCACACGATCAAATGTTATATTACAAAATACAAAACTGTTGTATGCCACATAGCCATGATGTGCCTATATATAGTCATAATTTGATGTCATCATGACAACATTTAGGCATGTTATAGGTTTTTATCAAATAAACAATATATAATATCTAATGTAGTGGTCATCTGTTTTCCTTTGCAGAAGCAACATATGCTTACAAACAGAAAAAGTCGATTATCCCCTTGATAGTGGAAGAAGATTACGTGCCTGATGGTTGGCTTGGAGCTCTTATTGGCACTTTAATTTACTTTCACTTATTTAACGACTCCAAGCTGGACACAGAGTTCCAGCGTATTATAAGTGAGATTGGCAATCGAGGAAAACAAGAGAAAGGACATAAAAGAATACACCGTAAAGGTAATTGCAACACTTACATGTCAATAGTGAAGCATGGAGGAGGGATGGCAAAAAACCTGTTCAACTAAGTGGGTTAACATACTGAAAATGACCTTTAGGTTTTCATTTGAATTATTTATGTCTGCATTACTAATTTTTGTACAACCCTGCGTGAAAGAGAGAAAATGTAGATAAAGAACACAAGCAGTGTGACCATCATCAGCGTCAAACGACTTTTCGATACATCTTGATGTATTATGTTTAATACATTGTCTTATAAATTGTTGTTTTGATCTAGAAATTGTTGCTGTTTCCACTTCATTTGAAAGTTCTTCAAATAACAGAGGAGTTGATTCAGCCGACAACCCAGTAGCTCCGACTTCAAAGGTCTTGCTTCCAAAGGTCAAAGCTGACATCTCCAACTGGACATCAAATGATGTTAAGAAGTGGTTGAAAGAAATCAAACTAGAGGAATGTAGCTCTGCCATGAAGGATGTTGATGGTGATATCTTAACCAGGATGTACACGATGTCGAAAGAAGCACCAGATTTTTTCTACTCAAGATTAGAGAGAGACTTTAGTATGATCCATTTGATGCAGATATTGAAGTTTTCCAGCGCTCTAGAAAAACTTCTTTGTTGAATGTAAATTTGAGTGAGTACTTAATCCAGATGTAAAAGATGTCGAAAGAAACACATGAGTTCTTGTACAAAAGGTTAAAGAGGGAATTTAATATGGACCATTTGATGTAGATACTTTAGTTTTCAAGTGCTCTACAGAATCTTCTGTGTTCTGTGTAGATTTAAGTAATGATTTTAAATTAATACGTAACACAAATATATAATATATACTTTTTTCATCTAAAATTATCCTGTTATTTAATAAAGTTTTTTGTGAAAAATCGAGAAATCAACAAAAACATAATAGTTTAACTCTATCTTACTCAGTATCTTACTCATCATAAAACTGTGAGAATCATATTATAGTGCAATACCTGTCCGAGTACTCAATGGACCTTTCCACTTAACCCCACCAACAGACCTTTCCGGAGTATCAATCAAACTTAACAACTGACCAATCAGGACAGCGCTAGGAATACGCGAACCTCTCACAAACACACGTGTTGTCTCACAAACGCACGTGTTCGTGTATGTTTTAACACTGCCGTCTTGTGGGACCTTAGCGGAAAGGTCTATTTAATATTGTTGCATAAGGTCCCACAAAACGAGTGTAAAAACATACCAAAACACATTGTAAGACAACATGAGTGTTTGTTCAGATACTCGCATATTCGTGGCCCTGTTCTGAGTGGTTAGTTGTTAAGTACGATTGACCCTCTCAAAACGTCCATATAATTTGTAGGAATCTATCAACGATTAAGATACTAGAATCAACTATTACAGCATATTGGTACTTGCTGTATGTAGCTATTAATATATATATATATATATTATATATATATAAGAGACAGAATCCAGGGTCCGAATCAATGTCACATACTTGAAATTAATTATGGTAATTTCGTCACCAATTTCACGAAGAAACACAAGCTTCAATTTATGGAAAAACAATGTTTTTAGAAAAACACGTTTGGAGTGGACTACTTCACAAATTCGTAAATTGTACTATCAAGATATCAAAAGTTTGAATATTTATTTACATATTATTAAAGATAGAGAATAAAACAATTCAAATGTTTAATTTATTTTTCTTTTCTTAACTTTAATCAACTTGTTAATTAGCGTAAAATGTTTCTGTCTGTTCGTGAAAACGATGAGTATTTACCCAGCATAGTGTTTACACGTACAGCGATGTTTGTGTGTCTTCGTGAAAGCGAAAATCTCATTTTAAACGCCGCGTACGCGCTCGGTTGTCAGACATAAACATTGTTTTCGCCTGTTTTACCATTGTAGTCAGGGGTGATATACTAGGTTTCCTGCTAAAACCCTTTAATGTTTTTACTAATAATTACAAACTGATGTATGAGTATAGGCCTATTCCATGTTATGTTGCAAGTAGGGTACCGCTAATCCTAGGAAAGTTAAGGAAATAAATCTTTTCCCTCTAGCCCTACCCCAGCCAGGGCATTTTTACATTCGTGGGTTTAACACGTTGACTGCCAGACCTTTTTTTAAGGTTCCTTCCCGTGTGCCAAAACAAGTTTACATGTACAAACATGCTTTTTTGAAATTTTATCTAGTCATATGTCATCAAAATGAAGTGTCTAATAAATTGGCGGGAAAATATTAGGGGGCGAGTATACTCGTCGATGGCACTGTAATAGAACTTTTTACTGACTATGCCAAGTGCGAGTTATCTCGTCCGCTTTTTGCATGGGTTGGGATATGTTAAAAGGGCGTCCCCACTTGTACCGCTCGAGTGTACTACCGGCAAAATAACACAACAGACATATATATGTCATTTGTACGTTGTCGTCTAGGTGTATCTTCCCCGAACTACCAACCATTGAGTCTGTGGTTCTACAATGTATAATAAAGAAGTTATAAACGCTAGAATGTTTCCCCCGATTTGACGAGTATACTCGTTCCTGGCGCCCTCAGCAACACCCTGTGAGCGAGTATACTCGTCGCTGGCAGCCAACGTGTTAACAGACCTCTGCAAGAGCTCCGGTTTCTATGCTGAAAAGTATCATCTAATTTCTGTAATACAATAATGTACCGTTATTTTATTAATAAGCTGAATCTATCCTACATTATCTACCAAATATATTATTTTAACATCATTATTATGTATATATACATAATAATTCCCTAATATTTTAAGCATATTATAGCATTTTATATATAATGTACTGTTATTTTATAATTATAAAGCAGAACCTGTACTACATTATCTATCAAAGTTTTTAACATAATTATAATGTATATACACATATTAATTCGCTAAAATTTTTGCATATTTCTATTTAAAAAAAACGAATCTAGATACTATTAAGTCATGATGAGATCCTAAACAAAATATGAATTATCTATCGTGTTGTAGTGACAGCACTAATTGTTTGTTTTTTTTTTCTTCTTTTTCTTTATTCAATATTTCATAGCTAATTTGTTATACGCAAATTTGTACACTTTTCAAAAATTATATTTAAGTATTAAACTGCTATTATACGGTGTCAATTTACATCTTCAAAACATACCAGTTAATAAAAACTACCGTATATGACACGACGTGTTTTGAGGTGAGACCGATGCTGCTTAATTTTAACCGAAAATACTATAAGAAACAACGGTTGCGTACATCAAAACTATAATTTGTTCGGGGGTTAAGATACGATATCAAAGACTACGATTTTATGCAGCTTTTTTATAACATTTACCGCCTTCTATAGAGCGATATATTAATATTACAATTGTAGTATCTGTTTCAATTCGTTTTATTTCGGTACAAGCCAAATTCTCAGAGAAAATAAAAAAACCCGGGGAGTTCAATCTCGTATCTACGAGGGCTTCTATATTTTGGCCAAAACTCCATTCTCAAAAGATCTATTTGTATAAACATACCGTATGATGATGAAGGTCGTTCAGCTCCAAGTAGATTCGTACCATATTCCCACCAAAAGAATCCATTTACTGACCTAGGTGCCTACTGGACCTCTGACTTTCATAAACAAACCTGGCGTTCCAAAATTACACACAGAAACAACCCACCCCCCCCCCTTTTTTTTTAAAAATTAGATTTAATTTTAGCTAAAATTGAGCTGATCCAGGCAGGAGGAGATTAGAGAATTTCGGATTAAAGAATGGAGGAAATGCGCCTTATTTTAAGTGTATTACTTAAAGACATCACACGTATGAATGTAATATACGTCATACTAAGCCACAAGGCTGGTGATTACATAAAATATCAATTTTTTACAGTTCATTCCGATACCATATTTCAACATTCTGGGTACGTAGTCGATAAAATAAGATGGCCGACACTAAAACGAAGTAAGTTGGTGCTGAATGTTTTGGCGATTGTTTATGGCAATGAACAGAATACCATAAAAAAATCATGACGTATTATTGGACGAAGAATGTGTGACGAGTTGACGATGATGACGTTTTCTTTGAAATTTGTAAAACTCATGGTTATATTATTATGATATATTATTGATATGGTGTTAGTTTTTGTCCAATTAGCGGCATACCTGGTTCTGACATTGACGCTGAATTGGTAAAGAACGACGAAAAACTTCAAGTCTAATTATTATTATTATTATTATTATTATTATTATTATTATTATTATTATTATTATTATTAATATTATTATTTTTATTATTACAAATACTATTAGTATTATTATTTTATTATTATCATTATTACTATTATTATTTCTCTTATTATTATTATACTAGTGAAAATAATAATAATAATAATACTAGTAAAAATGGGCCTAATAATAATAATTAGAATAATAATAATAATTATTATAAAAATGATAATGATAATAATAATGATTTTTCCTACTTTTTTTGCTAACGCAGAAAAAGCCACTAATACCACGGGAAACAAGTCTAATTCCGATTTTTTTTTTCACAAAAAAAAAATAGCATGATTTGTAAACACACTTTATGTCTGGCTCAGTTCTTTAACATAAACTAGATCTTAATGCCATCTCTGAAGGTCAGTAAAATAATAATAATAAGATGGTAGAATTATATATCACTATATAGTGTCCGAAAGGTCAAGAGAAAGCCACCTTTGAATTATGCAACGGAAATGACTGCTAAATACACGAGATATCTGAGAAAGCTCCGGTTCCTATGCTGAAAGTATCAATCTGTAGTACAATAATGTACAGTTATTTTTTTAAGAAGCTGAACCTGTCCTACATTATCTATCGAATTTGTTATTTTAACATAATCATATGTATATACATATTAATTCGTTAATATTTGAAGTATTTTTTTATTTTTAAAAACACGGGTCTAGATATTATTAAGCCACGATAAGATCCTATAAATATAATACAAATTATCTATCGTTCGCGTGTTGTAGTGATAGCAACTAATTTGCATACACGCAAATTTTGTACACTTTCCACCTATTATATTTAAGTAACTACTATTATATGGTGTTCAACTGACATCTTACCAGTGATTAAAACTATAAGACGCAAAGTCTTTTAAGGTGAGACGTAGGTTGCCTAATTTGAACGGAAAATACTGTAAGTGAATTAAAACAACGGTTACGTACATCAAAATTATAATTTGTTAGGGTGGGGGTGGAGGGTTAAGACACGATTTCAAAGACCACGTTAAGTTATTATTCTACTTTCTTATAAAATTAGCAGTCTTCGATTTTTATATTTTGGCCAAAAATCCATTCTCAAAAGAACCATTCCATAAAGTTCAAATTTATAGGTCTGTGGTTTAACGTAGACGTATAATTTAGGTCAACATTTCAAAAAGCACCAATCGTAAGTCATATGTCTCAATCTGTAAGCAATTCAGGTTTGATGAGAGATTATTGGTATAAGGTAAAGATTATGATATGATTCATAACGATCTTGACCCACCAACCAAGGAAAGTCTGACGTTCTTTATTAGGTCAACATTTTATAAAATATTAACATTATAGCAAAAAAACTTACTTTAAAAACCTAAAGTATTGATGGCTTTTCAGCATTAAATTTACAGTGATTGACAAAATCTGTAATAAAATCATTAAATCTAGTAATATATTAAATGCTCGAGGAGTAAACCATGTAGATTGTTCTGAAAAGAACTGTTGTTTTGTAGAGAATGTCTCGAAATTTCGATTGAGTTGCTTCAATCGTCATCATGAGAAAAATATCTGCAGAGTCCAAATATAGAAATAAAATATTTCTTGAAGAGAAATACTTACGTGATTTGAAAGTTAAAACTTTCTGCTGATTGGTAGAAATCTAAGAAATAGCTGAGGCCAGGGAACATTGAAATTGTTCCCTACTGAGACTAGGCTAATACAAACGCTAGTATTGTGATGGTGGGGCGTGGCGAGAAGAGCCAAGACAGTAGCATTGTTGGATGAAAAGAAAGCCAAAACAATGGCATGGTTTCCAGTGTAACGGGTAATGTGCTGCTTCTTTTAGGTCCGATTATTAACATTCTTTTTAAAATCGATTAATAGCTTTGCGTTTCAACGGTCAAGTTTTCACGCAGCCCTTAAAGATAATTAGCAATTGTAAAGTTCAATAGATTCACTATTATGTTATTAACCCGATAACTAGCTGGATCACAACGAAGGTGATAACTATTATGTAGATTACAAAACTACCGGCACCTCCATTTTCCTTCGGATGCCTTATATACTCGAGTGACTATGCAAATACAACAGTCGATCGTTGGTTACAAAAAACACTAAGATGGCTGAAACCAAAGGAAAGTTGTTACGTACCACCGTGATACTGTGTATTTTGTTTCCCTTAGCCGTTAAAGCTCAGAACACTATCGACGAAAATCATGTGGTTGTATTAAACCAAGAATATGATATCATATTGAAATGGAGAATTGCTGGAGATGATATTTTCTTTGAAATGAGTGCTAAAACTTACGGATACGTTGCCATTGGATTTTCTCCAAATGGTGGCATGCCTGGCTCTGACATTGTAGCTGGATGGGTGAAGAATGATGTAACATTTTTATCTGTGAGTATCTACATCTATATAATAATAATAAAGCTAGTAGTAGTAGTAGTAATAATAATAATAATAATAATAATAATAATAATAATAATAATAATAATAATAATAATAATAATAATAATAATTACAATAATAATAAGTAGCTGGATGGGGGAAGAATGAGGTAACATTTTATCTGTGAGTATCTACATCTATATAATAATAATAATATTAAAGATAATAATAATAATAGAGTAGCTAAGAGATGCTGGAACTGGACACCGTGTGGGAAAAGACCAAGAGGACGACCGAGGAAACGATGGATAGACACAATTAAAGATACTTTAAATAGAAATAACATGCCCACCTTCCAAGAATTAAGAAATAGCGGTGAGATGTTAGACAGACAAAAATGGAGAGTGAGGCTAGCACCACTGACAGGCGGAAGCCTACCTGGGAGCTGAAGTAAGAAGTAAGTAAGAATAATAAATACAATAATAATAATAATAATAATATTAATAATAATAATAATAATAATAATAAAATAATAATAATAATAATAATAATAATAATAATGATAATAATAATAATAATAATGTAGTGTAGTTTTGTATAGCGCCATATCCATGTAATATTAGACGCTCAGGGCGCTTGATATGTGGCCTAGGAACTTGATCAATGACTTTCTTCACCCCTAAGAGTCCTGTCTGTGCTACCCGGTAACCCGGTACTATCAACTCTCGTCGTCCACCTCAGGTGCTGTCGTACACCGGGGTATCCCCTACTCGTCTCGAAAGATGCACGCACTGGGTGGTACTTTATAGTGCGTAAGAGCCATTATATATATCCTATCATGCTACCAAATTCGCCAAGCCAGATATCGACTTGTCCAATGATTATGAACTCCTTTACGGATTTGAAGAAGGCAATAAAACAACAATTGGATTCTCACGAAAGCTACAAACTTGTGACACCAATGATTATACAATCACAGTAAGTCTTATAACTTTACAAAGAACTTTAAAACCTTTCAATAAATGTTTATGTACTTAATTAATCTTTAGTATCCCCTCTATCACTTATTTACTAAAATTGTTCGTCAACAACTATTAAACTATTTACACTAACATACATTATGTGTGTATCATAGCAACACCAATTTTAACTTGGTATAACAACATTATATTCACAAATCGACGGCGGGCTAGAGTATGTGTGTCAAATTCCAGTATAGAAACGGTCAGGCCGGAGTGCAATAGGTGGGCATGTCATGCAAGGTCTTGCTAGGCCTAAATACTATACACATTCTGTATTAGAATACAAATGAAATGAGTACCAGGGGTGGCGCCAGCAAGGGGAGGGGGAGGGGATGCCAGAGCCCCCGTCGGGGAGAAAAAGCACAATTCGTCGGAGAGAAAACAAAATTATATGTATTTTCTACATATTAGTAGACTCTAAAATCGATTAAATAAGCCTTTGAAACCCTAAATTGTTAAAAATTTTCTGGGGCTTCACCCCTGGACTAGCTACTTTCGAAACCATTTAATCGAAGCTCGACCACGCCCACATTGCTTTCGTCGGGGAAATCTGACCCCCCGTCGGTTGCATCAGCCCATTTTGGCGACCTCGCCCTCCCCCCCCCCACTCCTCGTCAGGCAAATCCTGGCGCCTCCCCTGATGAGTAGGCCTACTCTTTAGACTAACGAAATTTATTGAGCTTTCGCTAGTTTGAGCTAGCTTCATCAGTCTGTATTAGGGATCGAGTTCGAGATGGCCGCGCTTCCATTTCTTGAAAACGCAGTAATACGTCGGTTTCACTTCTTGATCGCAGCGTAAAAACAGTTTTTTGGTCAATATTTACACATTTGCACTTTAAGAATACGAGGAGCCAACTCTGTGAATCGTATAGCTTAGTTTTTACTTCGTGATCCTGAGATCTTCAGATTGTCAATATCAAATATCTACAATATTATTAGGGAGCTTTCAATTTGCACGATGACGCTTGAAGAGATTCACTCATGCGTGACCGTCCTCGTTCTCTGCAAAAATGTAGATTTATCGTTCTCGCATACATGCTTAGTAGCGTCATCACGCTGTACGTCCTATCGCGTCGCGCAATCGAAAGACGATTTTTTATTTGAATATAATATTATCATTACCTATAGAGTGACACGTCAAGAATTATTTGGGCTGTGAATGATAATGATCCTCCCAACAGTGGTGATCTGTTGTACCATGGTACAGCTAGGGGCGTACGATCTGTCATTTTGTTGGATGCTGCAACCAAGCTAAATGAGCTTCCTAATGATGCCAACAGCTTTGAACTTCTGGTATCTAATGTGAGTATATCATCATCATCATCATCATCATCATCATCATCATCATCATCATCATCATCATCATCATCATCATCATCATCATCATCATCATCATCATCATTATCATCATCATCATCTCATAATAATAATAATAATAATAATAATAATTATTATTATTATTATTATTTTATTATTATCATTAGCATTATCATTAACATTATCATTATTAATATCATTATCATTATTATTATTATTATTATTATTATTATTATTATTATTATTATTATTATTATTATTATTATTATTATATAATCGTGGATTTGACCAAATTCAGAAACAAGAATAAGCACACTGTACTGTATCCTTCATCCTCTTGCCAACTGTACCTTCATCCTCACAAAAGTACAATGATATTTAATTTTCCATCAATGCTTAGGTGTCTGTGCCGAACGATGATACAACCTACTGGTGCACAAGTTTTGCTGTACCTAAATTTGAAAAGCCTGTTCACCTGTTTCGAGTAAGTACAATTATATAAAATTAAAATTTGTATGATATATTTTTGCTATCTAATAATATACTTTTATCATAAATAATAATATTAAACATTACTTGCTGCGTAATAATAACAGCTAAAAACAAAAACAATGAAAGAAACAAAATTAGCATGAGTAATAAAACAATGTTGTTGTATAATATAATTGGCTGAAGCAGTAATTCATGAGTTTTTAGGACTTAACAACAAAGAATCTGTTGGCCAACTCAGACAGCGTCGTACGACGCAGCCCGACACGATTTGTTGTCGCGTCGAGTCTGTGTGTTAGTTTAAGACACACAGACTCAACGCGACAACAAATCAGTCGCGTCGTAGAATATTAAACATGTTTAATATTTCTCACGACGGCTTAAGACTGTCCCCGAAGATAAATCGGGTCGGGCTGCAGGGGTGGATCTAGAGATGTCCAAAAGGGAGGGGCCGAAATTTGGGCCGATCGAGACAACAATGTCTTACGGGGTTCGGGGCATGCCCCGCGAAACATGAGTGTTCTAGACGCCCGAAAATAACAATAGGGGGGACGGGGCCGGGCCGCCCCCCCTAAATCCGCCCCTGGGCTGCGTCGGCCGACGCTGTCTGAGTTGGCCTTTAGAATATCACCTCTTGGATTTGAATTGTATTGGACAGTCCGCTGGAAATTGTGCAGTATAACTGTTTATAGATTATTATTCCACCGACTGCTATGTCTATAGTGTTAGGCAATGTAGTAGTAGGCCTATGCCTGATCGTGATCGATAGTGAGGACGCACTCCAATTCTGACTTTAAGGATAGGCAAATTCGAGACTTAGTTGGCAGAATAAACACTTTATCATCATCTTCCATTACTGCGCAAACCTCGATTGAGTATGCACGCACAATGTGTGTGTAAATTACTCATATATGTCGTGGTTAAAAGGGAAAGAAGAAACTAATAATATAAGTAGACAAAAATATGTTTAACAAAATAAATAATGAAAAATTTATAAATGAATGAATGAATGAATGAACGAACATACAGTGGTGAATCATTAGATTTCGGGAGACCACAGTTGTCTCCTTAAGCTGGGCTTATGTCGCCCTTGCGACTCGACTCAACTCAACTGACATCAACTGACCTTTGGCAACTTGCCAGCAACTGTGAGCAACTGAGGGCAACTGAGAGTCGCGCGACTGAAGGTGACATATGCGCACCTTGCGATCGAAAGCAACTGAAAAGCAACTAAAAATCGCCAGTTGCTCTCATTTGCTTTCCGTTGCCCATGTTCCATATTGTAGCGATTCAAAGCAACTGGCGAGCGACTGAAAATGCTACTGCGCATGTCGATTTTAAAGTTACGTCACCGCCGAAATTAAGTTGGCGTGGTTTATGTAAAATGTAATTGTGTTTACAAGACTTCTGTAATACCGTAAAACTTCGAATTGAAGCCCTGGGCTTTTTATTTTTTTTTTTAAATTATTATTTATTTTTTTGAGACCTTTGGATGGGCTACTTTTGCAAAATAAAAATGGGGCTTCTTTTTAAAATGAATACTGTAAGTTTGTGAATTTGTACTACTAAACAATAAATACGACCACTTTAACATAAATGTGTATCATGGAGTGTATTAATTCAACTGGCATTAAACCACCTAAACTTACGTTATAAACCAAGCTTGTTTTTAATTTATTTTGTTTTCTGAAATTCATGCAGAGTGTATAGTACTGTACTCTCTCGAAAAGAAGCATAAGTTATCTTGAAAAGAAGCCATATGGGCTTCTTTTAGAGTCTAATTTTGCAAACTTGAGGGGCTTCAATTCGAGATGGGTTTCACAATATTTTGGTTACGAGAAGGCGTGTTGATGAAAAAGAATGGAAATTATAAGAAAGTGTTAAGTCTCTGAAACAGAAGATATCTTTGGATTATTATATCACTGAAATTAAATGGCCATGTTCAATACAAAATCATCCAAAAACGCTCAATAATTAAATATGAGGCTTACAAATCAATCATTGGTAACTTTGACAATGTTAATAGAGTATGGAGACATTTTGTAACAATCAATTAAATATTTAAGGTACACATTTCTTTATAGTTTCAATGATATTCTAATAAAAATTAAGTCTGATGATAGGCCACTATTTATCTTCTAAACAACGAAAAAATATTTTAATTTCGAACGTTTATTCTAAGAAAACTCGATTCGAGATTAAGATAAGTGAATGGAGATACCTAAGCTGCTTTCCCCCTTTCTGTGTCTTCTTGTACATTAAATGTACAATAATTAATTATTGATATAATACTAACATAATCATTTTTTTACACGATTAGTTCATATACAGTATTTTATTTGTACTTTAATAATCCAATTTGTAAAACTAATATTTATGACATAGGTCTATTTCTTAAATTAATAATAATAATTTTATAAGCGTTTTAATTTGAATTGTTCATTGGGTCATACGTAGTAGACCGTGGGTTGAGGCTCCAAAATCGGCTTAGTTTACGAATTCTGTGACCCACCGATCCGCGCTACTTGGCATTCGCACAAAAATGTCAATACTATTTTATTGAAACATAATATAATTGTCGGCAATCGTAAATTTGGGGAAACTGTAACCAAAAATGAGAATTTATCTTC